TTCTGAGCCATCGCTCTAGTCCCTTTATGGGTTTTCAAGATCCGGTTATCCTTTGTTATTCTTTTAAAAAAATTTTATATTAGTTGATTTACTAATAGAGGGCATCCCGAGGGTGCCCTCTCCCCCCCTTCCTCACAGTCCATCCCCACTTCCCCTCCTTCTCCCTTCCCCTCTCCCTTTTCCCCGAGAAAAGGACAGTCCCCTTTCCCTGTGTACTAACCTTCCCCAGCACATCAAGTCACCTCAAGACTGCTCTTATTTTCATCCCATGAGTCCAGACAAGACAGCCAGGAGGAAGTGATCCAAAAGCAGGAAATAGAGTCCATGTTAGAAACAGCCCACCCTCCACTGGCCAGGCACCCCATCTGAAGACCACGCTCTCTTACATGTGTGCGGGAATGGGGAGGACAGGTCCAGATCATTCATGCTCCTTTGTTGATGTCTCAGTCTCTGAAATTCCTCATGTGACTGGGTTAGTTGTCTCTTATGAGGTTCCTGTCCCCTCCAAGTCCTTCCATCTTCCCCCACAACACTTCCACAGGACCCCCAGAGTTCCACCCCACGGCTGGCTGCAAGTCCCAGCATCTGTGTCCATCTTTTGTTGGCTGGAGTCTCCTAGATGACAGTCAAGTTAGACTCCTGTCTGAAAGCATAGCAGAGTAACATTATTAGTGTCAGGGGCTGGCTCTCTACTGTGGGGCAGGTCTCAGAAGATTCTTATTTTTGACTGGACTTAGGGGGAGAAATTCTCATCGAGGACAGTCTATGTCACTTAGCAATCTGTTCCTCGCATTTTTCTTTGGCTTCCTTCATTCTCTTGGCGAGAATTTTAGCATATTATGCTGCAACCTCCATCTGATTTTCCTTAGTGAGTTGTTTTCTCGAGAAATACTTTGATGTTTATGTTGCAGGACATGTGAGTAACAGGACTCTGAGCCTTGGGTGCTTTGGTCCTGGGCTTCTTACCTTCTTAAAGGACTGTCTGACAATGTATTGTATTGGCAGACATCATCTTTAGATAAACAAGCTTTCTCCAGCCCTAGCTGCCAAGACAGAGTGTCAGCCCAGGAGTGTTCTTCTCCCCTTTTACCACATTGAGAATACTGGCATCCACAATGCAGCCCCAAACAGACTTGCGCTTTCTTTCTCCAGTTCTCCTTGGTCTATAATAAGAATGCCCCTTACTCAACAGCAGGCACAACTCTGCCCTGAGTCAAGAAGCCTTGCTTCATGGGAGAACCTTGTGTGTGGTTCCCACCGCTGATTCAGACAACAAAACATGCCCACTCTTCACTCAGAGCATCAGCAGCTACTTCTGTGGGCCATGTGCTTCTCATAGAAAGTATGAAGTTTTCATTCATCACTCACTTCAGAGAGCTTCTGATATCCAGGAAGGATATGTTCAACTTCATTGGCTGCCACAAAAAATGAGCCTCTATGGATAGTTTATTTGTTTATTTGGTTGGGTTTTTGTTTGCTTGTTTGTTTGTTTGTTTTGCTGAGATAGGGTTTCTCTGTGTAGCCTTGGCTGTCATGGACTGGCTTTATAGACTAGGCTGGCCCCGACCCCACAGATATCTGTCTGCCTCTGCTCCCTGAGTGCTGGGATTATAGGCTTGTGTCACTGTGCCCAACATCTCTATGGGTATTTTAAAAGTATATTCTGGCTTATTTTTTGGTTGTACTTTTCCTCCTATTTCATGCTCCTATTTCATGAAGTTTTTGTCTTATGGTTATTAATGCCTCCTTTCATTTTATTTGAATTCAATTTGTTATTTTTCTAAGTTTTAAAACTATATATATATATCAGAAAAAATCCTTGGATGCACCAACAACCCTGCTCAGGGGCAGGTTGTTGATGCATCCAAGGATTTTTTTCTGGCTTGCTATTCTAATACTAACAAAATAGATTTGAGAAGGCCAGGCATGGTGGTGCTCACCCTTAATCCTAGCACTTGTGAGGCAGAGGCAGGCAGATCTCTATGAGTTTATGGTCAGCCTGGTCTACATAGTGAGTGAGTTCCAGGATAGATTGAGCTAAGTAGAGACCTTGTCTCAAACATATATATATATACATATACATATATGTGTGTGTGTGTGTGTATGTATGCATATACATACACACATATATAATGCTCAGAAGTTAGTAGTGCTCTCTGCTTTTTTCACAGAACCAGAGCTCAGTTCCCAGCACCCAAATTGGAAGGCTCACAATCACCTGTAAATCCAGCTCCAGGGTACCTCATGCCCTCTTCTGGCCTCCCTGAGCACTGAACTCACATGCACAAAACCAACTTACATGCACAAACCCACACTCATATACACACATACACACATAAATAAAAATAAATCTTTAAAATTTAAGAACCACATGTGAAAGAAGAAATTTCACATTTGCTTTTCAAATTCATCTAAGACATTTAACATGACTGTTTCTACTCACACCTATTTGCCTATAAATGACATAATTCCATTCTTTTTTCATCGTGTATATACAGTGTGGTTTTCCTATCCATTCCTCTGTTGTTGGACACCAAGATCGGTTTCATAACTTACATATTGTGAAAAGAGTCACAGTACAATCATATTCTATGAGGTACTGGTCTGGGTCCTGTGGGCTGAACACTCAGAAGTGTCATGGCTGGACCATAAGGCAGACCTGTTTTTTTAGACATTTGAGGAATTTCCATAGTGTCAGGACTGGCTGATAGTTCCACCAGCAGTTTACAAAGATTCTCCTTTGTCCACACCCTCCATATTTGATTTCTTAATCACTGTTATTCTGATAGGGTCTCATAAGGTCAGACTACCATGAGACCAATATGTCACCAAGGATGGCCTAACACCTGTTCCTTCTTTCTCCACTCCTGAGGTGCTGGTGTTATAGGCGTGTGTTACCACTCCTGGCAATGCATATTAATTTTAAATGAGTACACATGTAATAGCAACTTTGACCTTGACTGTGTAGCCCCTTTCTTGTCTTTGGATACATCAACATGCTGTATGCATTTAAGGTTGTGGAATACCAAGGGTAGCTATCACAGTAATCTCACCTTGATAACTACTGTTTCCATCACGACATCTTTAAAAGCGTTTTTTAAACACATCATGTTTATTCTTTGACCAAAATGTGTTATTTAAAGTGTATTTTTTTTTTATTTCCAAGCATATGGCTACACTCTGGTTATCTTGTTACTGACTTCTAGCTTAATTGCATTATGGTCAGACAATATGCTCTATGTGATTTTGTGATTTTAATTCTTTGAATTTTCTGAGACTTGTCTAGAATACAGGCAGCATTTAGAATTTCTGCTTGTGTTTAAAAACATTTTGTCACGGACAGCAGCTTTTTAGGTGAGTTTATCAGGCCAAGTTTGTTAATTCTTTTCAGAATGTATGTATGGTTAGGGTTTGCTTATTTGTCCATCTGATTTTTCTTTTCATTTTCAGTTTACTTTCTTCTATGTGTGTGGGTGTTTGGCCTGCACGTATACTTGTGCACCATGTGGGTGCTCCGTGGCTGAGGAGGCCAGAAAAGAGCTTTGGATCCCATGGGATTGGAATTATACTGGTTTTAAGCCACCGTATGAGTGCTGGAAATGAAACCTAGGTCTTTCGAAAAAGCAGCCAGTGTTCTTAACCCCTGACCCATCTCTCTAGCCTGTGCACGCACCCACCCACTCACCCACACACAAGAAATTTTTAATATGAGACCTCAGTATCCTGCCCAGGGTGCTCTGGCATTCTTGTGTTCACAAACTCCTCCTGCCTCAGCCTCCTAAGTGCCGACATGCCCAACTTCTAATAACTATAGAAACTGGGGCTTTAATTTCTCTCATGATCATTGTAGAGTTTTGCATTTTTCTTAATATGTCTGTCAAATTTTGCTTTCTGTGTTTTAAGTTATGTCATTGTGTACATATATATTGAAATTTTACATCACTTCCTAATGGGTTTAATTCTTTCTTCTGAGTAGTCATAGTTATTTCTGGAACTGCATCCGGCCTTCCTCTCTTTTGTTAGTTGGTAAGAGGGCAGGGCTGTTGGAATTTATCCACAGTTTGCTTTCTCTGTTTCGCTCACGTTTACTTCCAAGCACCAAGTGCTTGCTGCTCTTGCAAAAGACCTGAGTTGAGTCCCCAGTATTCATGTTGAGCAGCTCACAACTACCTGCAACTCCACCTACCGGTGATCCGTGATCCGATGCTGTCTCCAGACAGCTATGGGTACCGTGCCCACATGCGTTTACACAGATGCACGTTTGTCCACAAATAAAAATAATAAAATCAGTCTTAAAAATAAATGTTAGGCCAGATGATGGTGGTACATGCCATTAATCCCAGAAATTGGGAGACAGAGGCAAGTGGATCTCTGAGCTTAAGGCTAGCCTGGACTATAGAGTGAGTTCCAGGATAGCCAGGACTACACAGAGAAACCCTATCTCCAAAACAAACAAACAAACAAACAAACCACCCAAAACAAACAAAACAAAACAAACTCCAGGAAAAACAAAAACACAAAAAACAAAACAACCGTCCCCCAAAACCAACCAACCAAACAACCAAACAACCAAACAACCAAATAAATTAGATTATGTGCCTTTGTTTCTGAGTATACCTTTCTTATCCTTTGTTTGTTTGTTTGTTTGTTTGTTTGTTTTTCAAGACAAGGTGTCTCTGTGTAGAACCTGGCTATCCTGGAACTTGCTCTGTAGACCTGGCTGGTCTCAAACTCACAGAGATATACCTGCCCCTGCTTCCTGAGTGCTGGGGTTAAAGGCGTCACCACACCCAGCTAAAAATGTTTTGTTTCACTCCTTTCCTGTAGGGTATATTTTCTAGATAAAGATTTCTGACAGCTCTTCCCATTCTTCCTCCTCCTCCTCCTCCTCCTTCTTTTTCCATGTAGCCCAGGATGCCCTTGAATGTCCAGCAACCCTCTTGCCTTAGTCTCCTAAGTGCTGAATTGCAGGCATGTGACCCAAGAATTCTTTTTCTTTTTTAAATGCAGCACCCTTTACAAGTTTTCATGTCTCCCTTGCAGGGACCATGCTAATCTCTGTGTCATTCCAGTTTTGGTATTAATGCAATTGCTAAGTTGGTGCACACTGAGACTTCCTGTATTTTGGAATTCTAAGAAAATTATGTCCTTTCTGTCTTCCATGTGTTCTGCTTAATGACAGGTTGGTTTCCTAAGCACTCTTACTGTTTTCTCTTTACTTTTAAAAAGAAAATGGAGGAGGAAGGAAAGGAGGGAGGGAAGGAAGGAAATTAACTAGTTGGGCATGGTGATTTATGCATGTAATCCCAGCACTGAGGAGACAGAGGTAGAAAGATTGTGAATTTAGGGACAGCCTAGGCTACATGAGACTGTGTCTCAAAAATAAATAAATAAAATAATACAATGCAGGTAAGTTCTTCATGAATGAAATGCCTTGCCCTTGGACTGGACTGGGCTTGCTCTGTCCCCAGGATTGGGTGTTTTTTCCTCTGCTCTAGAAGCAAAGTTTTTCTCTTTTTGCAGCTAAGGCAGAAAGAGGCAGTTAAAGTTCCTTTTTCACCATGTAACAGACTGAACCTGCCCTCACTGTGGGAAGCAGTGTGTGTTTGAGCTAATGTCTACAGGTTCCTGTGTTTGAACTTTGTCTGCAGCAGGTGGCGATGCTTTAGGAGCTTGTGGAATGTTTATTTTTGGAGGGGATCCTAGCAGAGAGATGCAAACTTCTGGGGGTGGGCCCTGAAGGTGAGAGTCACCTCTAGTTCTGGCCAAAACACTCTGCTTTCTAATTCTCCAAAAGAGGAAGAAAAGCCATTCCTGAAGTTTCTGACTGAGCAAAAAAGTGTCCCTTCAGCCACCATGCTTTCCCCACTAGATGGACTGTACCCCCTCTGAACTGTGAGCCAATATCAACCTCTCCTTTCTTAAGTCTGTCTGTCAGGTATTCTGTGACCACAGTCAGACATGTAACTAATGCAGCATGTCATTGTAAACTTGATTTAAGGGCTTGCCAACTCTGCCAACTCTGCTCTGTGTCACAATTCAGTCCAGAGGGATCCAGGCCAGTGACACTGAGTCCTGCTGGCTATATTTATTAGAAACAGCTCATCTACAGGCTGCACAGGCAGAAAGCAGCAGCTACCCATACACCTGGCTGAAGATACAGGGTGCTGGAATGAGAGACCAAGAGCCTGCTACAGCATTAGTTCCCGGGGGCCCACGGGACTGGGGCAATGCTGCAAAGTGAGAGGAGACAGCACATTGCAAGTTATGTCTTTCAGCACAAAAGGTGAACTTTGCGGACAATGAATACAAGCTTTGGGCATGCATTTCTGTTTGCCAAGTAAATCTGAGTGGGGCTCAAGGAGGTGAAGTGCTAAGGAGGCTTCAAGGCAACATGCTTCCACTTGGTCCTTGTCACCAGTGAAGCCGGTCATGTTCCAAGTACCTGTGGGACATATGAACATTGTGTTGCAGACCTTGGTAGGATAACCACAGTCATGGCATATGGAACATACATACATACATACACACACATACACAAACATACATACACAAATACATACACACACACATATAAATTCTCCTCTGAGAAGTCACTTATGGCTTCCACATGCAAACTCACACAACTATCCTACCATAGTTCATATGTCACTAAGACCATACAATATAACTTGCTAATCATTACTGGGTCTTACTGGATCCAACAAACTTTGAAGATGTGTATGAAACACAAAATGCCACTGTAAAAAGGAAGAGGTATGTTTGAGACTTGTTATGGACTGAATTACCTCCCACAAGCCACCAACAAACCAAATGTTGAACCCTAGCTTTCAATGCAACAATTTGGAAATAGGTCCTTAAGATACCAGGATGTACTGGATGCTGGTGGCACACGCCTTCAATTCCAGCACCCAGGGGACAGAGGCAGGAGGATCTCTGAGTTCAAGGCCAGCCTGATTTACAGAGGGAGTTTCAGGACAGAGCCAGGCCTATACAGAGAAACAAAAACAAACAAACAAAAGACACTGCATAGAAAAGCTGTTTGCGGACACAGCAAGAAAATGGCCTTGTGCAAGCTGAAGAAAGAGGTCTCAAGAGAAACCAATCTCATCAACACCTTGACCTTGGACTTGCAGTTTCCAGAACCATGGATGGTGATATCCTGTTGTCTGAGATAGTCAGTCTGTGCTGTCATTAACAGAGTACAGGAGACCAGATTGAACTGCTCCAAATCCATCTATAAGGTGAGGAATGTGCCTAGCTTTGAATTATTCTGTTTTCTAAAGCAACAGCCTTGACCAGAGTCACCTTGAGTATAAGTGCCAAGAAAGACTGACTCTGAATATCTTGTTTACACCAGAGACAGCCATCGTCCATCAGCAAAGCAGAAGACACAGACTGGTAAATAAGTTATGTCAATCAATAATGACACCTGAAAGTATACCAAATTATGTCAGAAACACCAGACACGAGCCTATCAGCCCCATCAGATACAACCATATCAGCAGGACTACAAAAGAAGAAGAACCCCAAGACTGAGATGCAGAAGGAAAGACTGGTCACCTGATCACTTTCAGAGCCTTGTCTAGGAAAATTGTCAGAGGAAAGGACTCCTGCCTTGTCCCCCGGTTCCAGCCCATGTGTGATTGACACTTGGCTCATGCTAATCTGACTGTGCCTTGAAAACCTTTCACCAAAGATGTAGCTCTATACTCACAAGTTATTCTTTCTTTCTTTCTTTCTTTCTTTCTTTCTTTCTTTCTTTCTTTCTTTCTTTCTCTCTTTCTCTCTTTCTTCCTTTCTTTCTTTCTTTTTCCTTTTCTCTGTGTAGCCTTGGCTGTCCTGGACTTTGTAGACCAGGCTGGCCTTGAACTGAACAGTGATCCACCTGCCTCTGCCTCCCTGAGTGCTGGGATTAAAGGTATGAGCCACTATGCCTTTCTGTGAGGCTTCTTATGTGGACCCTACATGGTTTCCTGTACCGATAGCTTGTATCACTGTGATACAGGCTGACCTTGGACTTGCTGTACATTGTGTGATGTACAATGTGTCATCTAAAGAGAAATATTAGTAATTAAAATTGGAACACAAGGGTCTGGGGAGCTGGCTCAGTAGATATCAGCCCCTGCTCCTCTTTCAGAAGATCTGAGTTTGATTCCCAGCACTCACATCATACAGATCACAATGTCCTGTGATGTTCCAGGGGATCTGATGTCCTTTTCTAGCTTCTGCATATAAACACACACACACACACACACACACACACACACACACACACACGTAAATAATAAAACAAACCTTTGGGAAAGGATTGCCACAAATCTGTGATTCTAAATGGTCAGCTATCAACCAAAACCCTAACCCTAACCCTAACCCCTAACTAACCCTAATCCAACCCTAACCCTAACCAATGAAGTTACATAGCTTGTGGATTTTTAAATGTATCTATGATTTTGATATAATGCACAACAGCCTAATAAACCATGTTTGTTCAATCTCAGCACTTGAGAGGTGGAAGTAGGAGGATCAGGATTTCAAGGTTAGCCTCAGTTATATAGCAAGTTCAAGGTCAGCCTGGGCTACACAGGTCTCAGGAAAGAAAGAAAGAAAGAAAGAAAGAAAGAAAGAAAGAAAGAAAGAAAGAAAGAAAGAAAGAAAGAAAGAAAGAAAGAAAGAAAGAAAGAAAGAAACACTTGGTATGGTGACACTTTTTTTTTTTGGACTTGAGAGGTGTAAGGCAAGGTGATCATAAGTTCAATGTCATCCTCAGCTACCTGTAAGTTCTAGACCAATTTGGCTACATTAGATTCTGTCAATAAACAGAAGATTTTTCTCGGGCATGTCCGAAATGTCCTCATCTCATGGAGTAGTCTCTTTCAGTGCATTTGCTGTCCTGCTTTCCCCTTCCCCCCGCCCCACCCCAACCTTTCACTTGGAGTTATAGTTTTATGGAAAGGTCCCTAAAACAAGTTGGCTGAGGTGTACAGCGTAGAGCCAGGGTACAGATGACTCAGCCTGTGAGGCTGGCACAGGCTCCTAGACAGGGTCACCTGGGAAGAGAGTCTCCATGAGATTGTCCATAGTGGGCTGGCCTGTGAACATTTCTGTGAAGAACTGTCTTAATGAATTGATGTGAGAAGACCCAGGCCCACATGGATGGCACCGTTCTCCATGCAGGGGGTACCTGTATAAAAGTATATAAAAGTGAACTGTATAAAAGTAAAGAAATGGAGCCGAACATGAGAAAGTAAGCAAGCGAGCATTCGTTTCTCTCAGCCCTTGACTGCAGATATGATATAATTAGCTGTTTGAAGTCCCTGCCTTGACTTTCCCACAATGATAGACTGTAACCTCGAATTGCAAGCTGAAAAAAACTTACTTCGTTCCCAGGCTGGAGAAATGGCTCAGTAGTTAGGAAAACTGTCCAGAGGACCCAGGTTCAATTCCCATTACCCACATGGCACTTCAAAAAACGTCTGTAACTCCAGTTCCAGAGGGGATCTGGCACCCTCACAGAGACATATATACAGGCAAAACATCTCTGCACATAAAGTAAGTAAGTTCCCCAAGTTACTTTTCCATTAGGGACTGTATTACAGCAGCAGAAATGAAACTAGGACACCTTATCACAAGACAAAACAAACAAACAAGAAAAAAAAAAAAGTGGGGGAACAAGAGGGCTGAGATATAGCTTATTGCCAGAGCAATTGGCCCTAGGTTCCATCTCCAGTATAGGAAGTGTCAGGGGCAAACAGAAGCAGGTAGGACGGAACTGTGAGTATTGGGATACGGAGTAATATTTGCTCTCTGAAGCCTGAAAACGTTTCTCTTCCTACAGAGCCCAGGGAAAGCAGCTCTTGGAGCCGGGACTCAAAGGGTTAAGGGTTGGAACACCCACGTGCAACTCGCGGGCGCTGCTCATGGCTGCTCACATCCAGGACGCAATGAGGGTGAGTGATTCCCATCACGGATAGTCCCTCGTACGTCGCGTGGCCCTGGGCGACCCGCAGACACATTTAACCTGGCTGGCTTTTAGCTTCCCCGCCCGGCGCAGCAGGGTCTTATACAGCACCCGGGTCCTTTTCAGCAATGTCGTTTCTCACTTT